TATTTTTGCACGATTTTTCAAATTAATGTGTGTCATACCAAAAAACGTGCTAAAAATTGTCTATGTTATTTACTAGTTCCGCTGATACAAATAGAAAAAAAGTTTTTTTTTTAATCAAAATTTAGAATGTTCTAAAAAGAAGGAAAATTTTTTAAAAATAATTAAAAAAAACTTTGGTCTTTCCTCTTAATAATAACATAAGCATTTAGACAATAAAATTTAGTTTTCGGCAAGTTTGGCGTCTTTTTCATCAAGCTATGCTCTTTTTTTAGCGATTTCGTGGAGGTACCTATCTTAAGTGTTGTAATATCTCGTCAACGGATTCGTTTCCGTCTGACATTTTCAATGCTCGCTTGAAAGTATCCACAAATCTTTCTATTTGACCATTAGACAGTGGATTATATGGTGTGGTAGTCAGATGTACAACTGAAAAAAAAATGCAAAAATCTTTGAACTCTTTTGTCGTAAATTTCGTGCCATTGTTCGATACAGTCGTCTCCAGAACACAGAATCTTGCAAAAATTTATCGAACCACTACACGTAGGATTTTAAAATGTTAGATTTTGACCATTTCGAAAAACTCAAACTCTAATAATCTAGATGCCCTCTTTATTGGGCCTTCAAAATCAATATGCAGCCTTTGCCAAGTTCTGTCTGTTTTGGGCCAGTCACTGAAGTCCATTTTAATTAACACGCAATTTTTTTCTAAACGGTCCAACTCCTTACTAATAGAATTTTCTGCTGCAAAAGGTACTTTTCTTTTTGGTGTAAATATATGCGTCACATTATCTTTCAGTTTGAATGTCGCTTTAGCTCTGGTGTACCTGCAAAGATCCTCAGAATAAAATTCAGGAAATTTTATCATTAATTCATTTTTTAATTTTTCCACTCTGAATTAACACTGAAACTAAGTAGAACGAATTAATTGGTTTTTGGGAGCAAAACAACCCATCCAATCCATAAATTTAACGTTTTGTGTTCGCAATTCAAAATGAATCCTTTTAATTTTATAGTTTTAATCTATAAATTTCAATTTAAAAAAAATTCTCTATCAAAATTTAGTTTTATTTTTATTAATGAAAAATTCATTTTACAATTCTTTTCGTGATCAATAAAATTGGTCTGCCATTTTTTTCAGTTTTTTTTCATTTATTCTTTTGTCAGATCTGAACTTTTATCCAATTTTTTTCACTTTTTTCTTGTTCATCTATAGATTCTCAATATTTTTTAGAATTTTTAATTTTTGTTTTCCATTTTTTATCAGTTAACAGTCTTTTTCCATTTTTTTTTTTTTTTTAATTTTTTTTTTTTTTTTTTTTGCAATGCGTAAACTTGTAATTTTTTACCACAATTAAATCCTTTTATTTCTAAATGGACATTACTTGAAATAATGAATCTGTAACATCCATAAAAGAACGATTTATAAATAAGCAATCTATTTTTTTATGTTGTCTTTGTTTAAAAATTCTGACAACAAACGTCGTCTTCCTTTCTTTTGTCGTAATCGTGTCAAAGATTTTCTTTTGATCGCATCCTTCTGCAACCTTTTTCAAGATGGTTTTTTTTTATTATTTTGATTTTCTAAATTAGACAAATATTTAATTTCCTGAATAACGGCATCCTTTGAGAAGTCATATTTTTGTTTGGAGTTTTTTGTTGTCCTTTAAATTATTATATTTTATCCATTATATTGCGTCTGTCATTATTTCAGTTCTAAAGAATATTGGCTTCGTCGCCATCTATAATTGGTTCAGGTCGATGATGTCAATTTCCCAGAACATATTCTGACACATCTACCAATAAATCTTCAACCGTATCGTGTCAATCTTTTTCATCGGCGTTTTAAGGTTTTGAACATTGCCATTCTATTATTGATGAGAAATTTTTCCCAAACAGAATCTAAAAATAGCATCATATTTTAATTGAATATTTTTGTAAAAATAAAAAATTCAATATCACAATATTAAAAAAACTGATATCATAATTAGCAGCTGGAATTATAGACCGGGTTACCCGAGTTTTTCCAGTGCAGCAGACGTATTTACGTGGTTTTTGTCCTTCTTCTCCTCCCCATGTATGTAACAGGACAACTTTAACTGCAGGAAAAAAAATCTTTTTAGTCAAAAGAAAGATACATGATCGCCTAAGCGTTTATTCATGACACATGACTGAAGATTTTTGGGAAAGGTAGATCTTTTCTATTTCCTTAAGGACAGACGGGGGTTGATTGGATGGCAATTAACCGCTGAAAGAAATGGTAACCTACTTGTGGGAAAAAAATCTGATCGTCAGTCATTATCGAAAATGCCTAAGCGTTTATTTGGCACATAACTGATTTTTTGGGAAACCTTTAACAAAAAGACCGGTTTTTTATCTTTTTTCGAATTAAAACATTTGGCATTTTTTCACAGGAAACAATCTGCCTTTCAGTCAGGTATCGAAGTTATCGTTGTAAGCGTGTATCACGCATGGCAACTGAACCTTGGTTTTGTTTTTGCTTCTCCCTCCAGCTATATTTAAATAGCAGGGCAGACCAGGTTAATTTTGGACGGTAACAACATTACCGTAGAAAGAAAAATCCTCCTTGTCAGTTATGTATCGAAAGATAGACGATCACCATAAATTTCACGCATGACACATAAGTGACTGAATATCACAAACAGACCAAATAAATGAATTTCGTAATGTACTTGACATTTTTTATGTATTTTTTTAGGCATAATTGATTCTATTTGAACTTTTTCCAATTAAAAAAGGGCTCAAACTACAACAGAAATGATAAGATAGTAAAATAAAAATACTTTTTAAAAAATTCATATTTAAGATAAATTTCTATTGATCAATGGATGAAAATGTCGTAGTTTGAAGCTCTGAAATATTGATAGACTATTGGTCATTAAACTGATTGTGAAATTCATCCATTCAGCGGTGCAGAAAAATGGTTATATTTATAGATATAATTTACTTTTTTACGGTTTATCAACCATTGTGATTTAAGGCCTAAAAAATAGTTTTAGGCCATTGCAATATTAATTTTTCAGGAGATCCAAAGTCCTCCTATTAAATCTCGAGAGAGTCCAAAAAAACGAATAAAAATGGAATAAAAATAATTTAGTCTCCGGGTTACAATCTCTCACTCACTCTCTCTCACAGGGCTTAAGAACGAACGAACGAACGAAAACGAATTATTGATAATATCAAATGTCAAAATTCTAGGTCACTTACGAACAAGTTTGACCGATTTCCGCTTATAGCGAAAAAGGCTGGTCAACATTTAATGTGGCACCATTTTGAGGCAGAAATTTTGAAATGGAAAAAAAGCAGGAAAAAAAAGAGTCTTGACCCAAAACGTGGATGAAAGCAAAACACCACGGCTAAGAGACAATTTTTAAAGGATAAGTTTTTGATAAGTAAGAATGGCGAAAGAGTGTCATTACAATGATAAAAAATTCTGAGTGGATAAAGGAATCGGTGTGTTTGGCGACGGCTACTTTTTTTGGATCTGGGATGCGTAAACAAACTTTTCCAAAGAAAAATCCAAATGAAAATCCTGATAAGTGAATTAGCGATAAACAGGTTGACAAAAGCCACTTTGGATAGATAGAGAAAAATCATCAAGATAAGGGCGATTTAATTAATTTTTGACCGATTTCTTTCGACGGAAAAATTTGGCCTGCGATAATAAACTTATGACGTTACAGAAATATGTGACCGAAAATAGGAAAGAACCCGACCAGGTTCTTTTTGGGCGACGTCTGGTCACGTGACGTTAGAAAAAATCACCCAGACTGATAATTAGCGATAAGATGATGACGAACCGAGGTGAAGAATAGAGTTATGACCACCGTCGTTTGCGGCTAGAGAAAATGAGATAGTTTAAAAAGAGAAACCGAAAATGGAAAAGATTTTTTTTTTAGTTAAGGCAAGATATTTTTTTTCCTGAAACTGGCGCCGACAGAAGGATTCAGTCCACGCCCGAATAGGACACCATTGGTCGAAGTGGTGATCCCGTGACGAACGAAGGAGGCTGTCGCCGCCCCATCCAGAGGATAGGTATGAGAAGCTGCTACGAAGAAGTGGGGATAGAGTTCAGAAGTATGGTGAGAAGGTGGGAGGAGAAAAGGTTCCCAAAAATGGAAAAGAGTGGAAAATTCCTAACCAGAAATAAAACAGGTGGATATGTATTTAGAATTATCGAGGAACCCCGACGACAGACCCACCCCGGTTTTGGTCGGCGTCCATACCAACAGAAGAAGCAGCAAGCAGAAATCAGTTGAGTTGAATTCAGTTCAGAAGTTTTGGAGTTGCAGCAGAGTTTGAAGCTCGCTCCAGTTGGTTCCGCCTCAAGATAGCTGACCAAGATTCACGCAAATTCCGGACTCCTTCTTCAACCAAGAACAATTATTTTGAAGAGCGACTTAGATCCAGACCACAGAAATAAGTTTTTTTCGACTTTCGTCCAAAGACACACCGAAACACAAATTTCTTAGAGAGCAAACAACTTGAAGCGTTAAAACTTGCCTAACCGACGTGTCACAATCCACAGAACGGGTCGGGAGATAGATGCAGTCCTATGTATCGAACAACTAGACATAAAGTTTGTTACCTTTTTTCTTTGATACTTTGAACTTTTGAGTTTTCATTTTATTTTCTTTTATGCATATTTGTGTGATATCACCCCCGTTGAACTCAATTTGCATTACGGCCCCAACCACTGTTTGATCTCGTCTGCCTAAGATCAATTCACAACGTGGGTAGGCAGACTGGAGATCAATGCAGTTACCTTGGTAACCAGGCGTTGGAAGCAGGTTGGGAACGACGAGGCTGATATCAAATCTAACCAGATTCCCCCGAATCACCAAAAGGTTAGAACGTCACGTTTGGAGCAGCGACACTAGTTGGGACAGACTGACGCGACAGGCGGACGGAGACGAACAGATGACGCCGCGACAGGAAGACGTCCGTTGCTGTTTTGACGTCACAACTGGCACCGTGGTGGATCAGGATAGAACGTCACAGTCAATGCGACCGGGGGACGACGTCACAGATGGGAATGGTAGACTGAAATAGATAGATAGATAAATAGATATGAACAGACTGAAATAGATCGATAGATAGATAGATAGAAATGAACACTGAGATACGGAATAGATAAATGATAGATAGATAGATAGGATAGATAGATAGATATTAGATAGATAGATATGATAGAGTTTGATGGCTGGGTCAGTTCGTATATGGGGAATATAGAAGGCTGCGATAAACAGATGGCAAAAAGAACGGATGCGATAGAGATTTCTGTAAGGGATTTAGACTTAGATAGATAGATACTGGGATAGCTTTTGATGAACCGTATTGAGGGATAGGAATAAAAAATGACAATAAAGAGAAAAGAGAGATAGATAGAAAGATAGATAGATAGATGAAAATAGATAGATAGACAAAAATAAATTCAAAAGTCGGAAGAAGATAGATAAATAGATATGGGTGGATAGATAGATAGATGTCCGAATGATACATTGAAAGATAGAGAAATAGATAGAAGATAGATTGAGATAGATACAAAGACAGAAATAGATTCCGTTTTTGCCCATAGCCCATAGATGTGAACACAGCAGGTTCTATCCCCAGCAACAGCAATTAGAGGTCGTTCCCCGCTTCTCAAAACTCCCAAAGAGTGGTGTTTACCGGTGTAGTAGTGTTGATATTGTTTATATATACAAACGCTCTATCCTCGATATTAGGCAATGTTGATCCATATTTATAGCATATTTTACGTAATACGCACACATACACGCATGCAAACACACTCATACACACACGCGCACACACACATACACACAGGCAGATACATACATACATATATATATATATATATATATATATATATATATATATATATATATATACTAGCGAGCTAAAGAAATATTCGATGTCTAGTTGCACTGAGGATTTTTTTTGAATAAAAGCGAAACAGTACTGTCTGCGAATTGAATAATTAAGCTCTTGAAAAATATATTTCAATTGAGCACTGTTGAGAGATAAGCTGATTCTATAAACAACAGCCATGTGTGCCAATGCAAAGCTCTTCAGTAAAATGAATTGGAGCCCTCTGACTGATTGGGGTTTGTTTACATTCGTAAAAACAATACGCTAGAATTAGCTTTTCTTCTCTGCTGAATGATGATAGCTCAGTTGTAGAAACACTGACTGACACCAAATCGGTTGGGTTTCAGTCTTGGCTTGAAGCATTCGGATATCTAGTGGCACTGAGGAGCGAAACAGTACTGTCTGTGAATGATATATATTTATTTTCATTTTCGTCTGCCGAAATAAGCCTATTCCCTATATGAAGTGATTTTGAATTTTATTTTTTATTCATTTTTGCTCTGTAATAATAAATACATTGAGCGCCTTTGTGGATAAGTTTTAATGTTTTATATTTCTAGGATTTACTTGCATTTGTTACCTTTACTGGATAGATAGATAGATAGATAGATAGATAGATAGATAGATAGATAGATAGATAGATAGATAGATAGATATTGATGTTATGGTAATATGGTGATAGATAGATAGATAGATAGATAGATAGATAGATAGATAGATAGAAACAAAAAGACTGAGATAAATAGGTATATAAATAGATCGATAAATACATAGATACATGGTTACGAATTCACAGAGATAGATAGATAGATAGATAGATAGATAGATAGATAGATAGATAGATAGATAGATAGATAAAAAGATCGGTAAGTACATAGACATGGATACATATTTCCATATAGACTGAGATAGCTAACTAGCATCTATCTATCTATCTATTTAGATAGATAGATAGATAGATAGATAGATAGATAGATAGACTGTGATAGATTGTAAGAGATCGCAATTGTTTTCCATAATGAGTTTGTGTACAGATTGATGTTGCTGCAAAATCTATTTTGTTTTGCTTACCAAATCAAACGAGATGTAAACAGCGATCTGACTCAAATACGCTAAATTTCCGTATCTGATGTGAGTATCATCTGCATTTCAATCAAAAACACTCTATTTATAAGCAATGAACAAAATTCTAAATGATTACATCCAATACAATGGAATAAAACATTGAATTGTAACTGAGTATATTTATATAAATTAACGTTCACATATATACGCAAGATTCGAACGTGAATAAAAGTGTCGAGGTAATTTAGTCAAAATGTAATAATTTAAAAAAAAATAGCTACATGAATTTTAAAAATGTAAACACAATTCCAAGTAATCATAAATTAACCTTAAGAACAAAAATATTTTATTTTGTTTTGCATACAATACAAAATAGTTTCCGTTTTTATTTCTTTTTCTTCTTTTTTTTTTATTTATTAGTTTCATGATGAATTCCTTTCATTGATTTATCTGCTTGTTTTATAAATTTCCGCGCTCAAATGTAAGTGAAAAATCCCAGATGACATTATTTTTCTTGCTTTTGATCTTCGGGATTTATGTGCTTTTTCCTGGAATCAGTTATTCCCAAACATTGTTTTAGAAAAACGAACAATCGCAAAACAAAGTGGCAAAACGAACGATTGAAAATCAAAGGTGTAGCAAAAAGAAACGTCGTAAATCGGAATTATAGCCAAACAGACTATTGAGCAACCTTAACGTCTTAGAACGAACTGTCAGAAATCGGATGTGTAGCAAAAAGGAGGGTCGCAAATCTAGCAAGACAAGTAGTTGAAAATATGAAATATATCAAAACGAACGCTCGCAAATCCGAAATATAGCAAAACGTACGGTCGAAAATCCGAGCTGTAGTAAATCGTACGATCACAAATCCGAGGTGTAGTTAAACGTATGCTCGCAAATCCGAGGTGTAGTAAGATGTACAATCGCAAATCCGAGGTGTAGTAAAAATTACGGTCGCAAATCCGAGGTGTAGTAAGATGTACAGTCGCAAATCCGAGGAGTAGTAAAAATTACGGTCGCAAATCCGAGGTGTAGTAAAACGTATGGTCGCAAATCCGAGACGTAGTAAAACGTATGCTCGCAAATCAGAAGTGTAGTAAAACGTATGTTCGCAAATCCGAGGTGTAGTTAAACGTATTTAATCGCAAATCCGACTTAAAAAAAAGATGTACAATCGCAAATCCGAGGTGTAGTAAGATGTACGGTCGCAAATCCGAGGTGTAGTAAGATGTACAGTCGCAAATCCGAGGAGTAGTAAAATTTACGGTCACAAATCCGAGGTGTAATAAAACGTATGCTCGCAAATCCGAGGTGTTGAAAGACGAACGCTCGCAAACCCGAAATATACCAAAATGAGCGGTCACAAATTCGCGGGGCAGTAAAACGTACGGTCGTAAATCCGAAATGTAGGAAAACGAACGGTCGTAAATTCGAACTATAGTAAAATGAATGGTCCCAAACCTTAGGTGTAACAAAAACAGACAGTCACATATCCTAATTGTAGTTAAACGAACGGTTGCAAATGAGCATTGTAGTAAAATTAATGTTTGTAAACCCGAGGTGTAGCAAAACAAACACTTTAACCCAGTCTTATCTCACATCCCGCCACAGAGCAGTACTCTTCCAGCTATCATAACCAACCGGTATTCACTAACCGTGTCGCGGTGGAGGGATGTGGCACAAGGCCAGGTTAAAGTGGTGATACATAGAGGGAAAGGCCATAAAATGTCCAGTCTCCGAGAATGCTTGGACGCTGACGTTGGTACACCATTTCTCCCTTTTTAGTGCAAGGTGGTGTCTCCGTTGGGTTGAAATCCCCCTGGACATGGTATAATCCAAAGCCTTTTCCTTAAACTGCTGGAAACACGGTAGACACTACCAGGAAGACAATCAGCCGCAACCACTGCACCTCATGACACGATGCAATGCCGTATACTTGTAACCAGAACAACATATCCTTTTGTTGACCTTGCTCTCTTCTAATCTACCTCCATTTGATACTGGAGCTGGACATTTCTTTTGTTTCTAGTACCCCTTCGCAAGGGACATTCATTTTTCTCACTCACGATTGTATCTGCCACCCCTGGCTAGTCGTCCGTTTCACTTATATCCATCTCAATTTAACTCTCACTTGTGAAGAACCAGTCATCGACAGGATCTACAATCATTTAGGACGATATCGCAATACATTATTTACATCATTCGGACCTTGAAGACACATGACACAGTGGATAAAGGCGTTGGTTAGAGCCATTGACAGGACCCAGAGAGTGTGAGTTCAATACCCGGCTAAGGCAGTAGAGAACATGGAGAGGGGAATAACCAGGAGATAACTGATAACTGACATCCATTAAAAACATGACACGTGGAACTAGAACAGTTTACCCCAGTGAGCGGAATAAAGGGTTCAGTTCAACATTCCAACCACCTGAAAAAGGCCGGAGCGTACAACGACCAAAACGTTGTAATAAATATGGCGACAAAGATGAGTCCGAATAATGTAAATAGTGTACATATTACCTCATCTCAGAAATATAGACAGATACTGAAAGGCCGAAATTTTGCGATAAATATGACAACAAATATGTGGGCAATAGTCCGAATAATGTAAATAGTATGCATAATACCTCATCTCAGAAATATAGACAGATATCGCAGTACATTGTAATGAAAACGCGAAACCTAGTCTTGGTGAAAGACCACACTTCTTCGAACTTTGTGTACTGGCGCTAAACAATCACAAACAAAGAACTGTGCCAAATAATATTAATTGAGGACTACCAACAGCATCAACAATTATAATGGATAACTTTTCTGGTGTCAGCGAACACTCATTGCCACTTTGATAATACCAAGGAATGATCATTGTCACTTTCGTCATGCTCGTTGTAGTAGTGACTTTGCAATCGCAGATACAACTATAGTAACGCCGTTGAACAATGCTGGTGTCAGACGCACTAATAGTACTTGCTCGATCATACTCGCACGAATAGTAATCACCGAATATTGACCCGAATAGAGAATAGTGTAGAGAGGAGAACAGAGAATAGCAGTCCGTATTTTTATAGAGGAGAAATAGTGATGTAAATAGTAATAGAGGATAGACTAGAAATGCAGATCAATTAGACGTCACGCTACCTTCCATATATGCGTTTCCTCTATGGTCACGTGGTCTACTTAATTCAATAATGGGATCGCTTGTGTTTGCTCACTGGGGATCTATGTTCAAACTCAAGTGCCGGCAACGACACTTTATTCCTATATAACAATAACACATGTAACTCGAGGAGAAAACAATGACATAATCAAGATGTTAAAATTCTACACTACTTTCCATAGAAGATCAGGAGGGAAGCCCTCGTCATTACTGGAAAGAGCTATAACAGCTACTGGACTTTAGAAAATGATTAATTGACAGTAGTAAAAACGCTTGTTAATGAATTTCGATTTTTTCTTATAAGAAAACCGCTAATATTACCATTAGCATTGCTATTTTATCATATATAATCTTACAGTTTATCGAATTCCTGACTTATTCAGTCATTGCCGAACAGTGGGTGTAAAGCTTTGGGACCCTTCTCCAACGGGTATCATTACTAGTTATTATATTTAAAATACATGAAACAGATAATGCACAGTTAACAGAA